AAGCATGGACCATCGACTCGGATCATCGGCTCTGAGGAAGACGAAGACGTCGAAACGTTAGCCGAAAATAAATATATTTAACAACCTCGTGCAAGCTTATCAAGAACGAATACATATTGATTAGTCACACCGAGGTTCAAGGAAAGTCGGTTTAAAAATATTACTATTCTTTTTCTTTTCATTCAAACAATTACAGCCATTCTTCTCACCCAATACCATAAAACACATCTGTACGTCATTAAAAATAATATTAAATATAAGTAAAATAAGAATGTGTGCAAGATCTCCACCGCCAATCGAGCGACTACTAAACAATAACACAATGTAAGTTGAGTAAATCCCAAAAGTTGAGTTCCTAAACGTAACGAACACTAAATTGGGAGAAAAACTCGACCAGAGGTTCAAACAACAACAGAAAGTATCTTCCGCATCCGATCAACTTTCATGGAAATTTCAGTAATACGGGCTCAACTCTTCACAGTAGATAACATTTCGTTGCCACACTATCGAATAACTTGACCTCACAACGACAACATTAAGAATTTTCATCTCATGAAAACTTCCCACTTAACCTGAAACAATTGGAAACTCCAAATTTCCGTTAGGTAACGCCAAACAAATGAACAAACATGACTCGAAAAATGGTAGAGTCACATAGAGGGAAATAATCTACAGCAGTCACACTTTCATGTTGTAATAAAGGATGAAGGACAAAGCTTTCAATGCTGATCAATACATGAGTGTTGCACCATGCATTCGACTTCACCAAGAATCGTTGGAAGTGACTGAATGCATATCTAGCCTGTACAATTCGTGGTGACCTATCAATGTATCGAGCCAGTGCTGCCATCCTCCCAGACAAGTCTGGTACCAATATTCAGACCCCGGAGGGATGGAAAGCTGCTGGGTTTGGGGCGTGGGGATCGATCCAACGTGCATTACAGGGCGCCTCCGGCCACTGCGCTACACGCGCTCCTATGTTGTAATACAACTGCACTTGCAACGCCATTTTCATTATTGTGTTAACACCATACAATGATAGGGATTAAGTGCCATGCATCTGGGAAAACGACAACGATCGAAAAGGGAACCTCGTGTGGAAAACTGCTGTAATAGACCGGCGACGATGAACGGCGGGTTCAGACTCAGCATCTCTAAAGATGAGTATATCGATCGAGAGACGTGAAGTAGTATGAAAGGGTCATAACGACAGGAGGATATAAAAGTCAGAATATTGGAAACTACCAAAACACAATCGGAAGGTGTAAAAACTAGATGCAAGTTAATCAGACTAGGGAACGTCAGCCACCGAAACGCAATAACAACAGCTACAACAACAACAAGGAAAACAAAAGCAATAGCAACAGCAACAACAAAAATTGATATTGAACCTTGCGTCAGCTCAACCAGGGCGGTTCATCAGGGTTACGGACGCTAAACCAGTACACTTTCTGTCGATGTTTGATACGACGATGAAGAGAAATACTCAGAACGACGTCAACCACACTGAATGATGCAATCGTCATCCTAATCGATGTGGCACACCGGTGTTTCACATCGCGCCCTGAGAGGGCGGGCACAACCGGAGTTCGTAGCTTGGAACACGAAAACTCGTACGACACATCAATTGACCATCATCCGTCGCTTATGAAGGTCAATAACGAAACAGGAATAATCGTTTTCAATATGTTTTATGTCATAGTGTTAGTAGAAACAGCATAATTTATAGTGATATACAAGGTGAAGAAAGAAAAATTTGTTCCAAGTTCATTTGTATGTCCACACTTACACTCAGCAGTTAAATAGTACGTAACAGGACATTTGGATGGCCCGTCTTCACTGGATTTGGAGGCTCTGGCATAATTTCTATTGTTTCGGAGTTCTGCTGGTTTAGCCATTGTGGTGGCCTTAAGTCTTGAGGTCAGCCTAGCCAAAATGTACCTCAGGTCGTCACCATCACAGGCTGTCGTCGAACTTGTGAATCAGAGAGGGATTTGCTATCATGCAATTTTGATGCCAGGACGGTGGTGGATCCTGGTGTTGGTTTACTCTTTGCTAAGGTTCCCGATGGAAACACCGGACTCATCCTCAGCTTGGGAGACCCTGCCGGTTGATGAATCCCCGATGTGCATAGCAGCCCGACACCCAGGAACACATCCCTGCCACGATGAGACGGTAAACCGTTGGGAGGAGTTAATTAGGACAAAACAAATCAACGGGAAATTCATCCCGTAGAAATCACAGGATAAGAAGTTCTACTATTCTTGTGTTTGGCAGCAATCCTGAAATTTCTTTTCTGTTGGCCGTTATGAGAATCCGAAACGAGAAATCTATGATGATAAAAATGATTCAGAATACACTATCCAGTTTAAACAAGAATTTTCTCAAAACATTGTCCATTTTCGTAATTCGTTATGAGTTATAAAGGCATGGAGAAGATAGAATTAAGAGGAATCTTTATTAACCATCGGATTAATAAATGAGGGGATATCTTACCGGAAAATTTTACAATACTACTACATAACTGGGAATTTCCATGACCAATTTTCTACCGACTTCAGCATTGGTCAATAAAAAGATGGAAACACTGCAGAAATGTTAGCCATTGTTGAATAAAGCACTCATTAACCGTCTGACTGCTCAAGAAGAACATATTCATCTATTGATAACTAAGGACTGCGTAACGACATCCTTAAGCTCTAGCAAACACTCTCAGAAGCTAATTAATTCAAAAATATTGCTATAACCAATGCAAAACAAGCGGCGAGATCCAGCCTTCCATACCGTCCTCGATTGATAAGCTGCGAAATCAAAGAAATCGCTGCACTGCTGACGAATTTTATCACAAGGTAGCAGGCCTCCTTCCAATCTACAAATGTCGACGACTGCTTATATAAAAAAGCAAAGAACAGCCTAGCACGGCAACTTCTGGATTAAAAGGTAACCTAGACCAAAACAGTATTGAATAACTCAGTGAGACCATAACCACGGATCTTCGAGCTGCAAGCTAACTCGCAGATACTATCAGCCACATCAGCGGATGACAAAGACACGATGCTGAAACGGTTAGAAGCACAGCTAAAGCCTACCAGCATGGCATTTTGACTAGACATATAAATCGATAGGTACAAGCGAATTAACAAACTAAGACCGCTTTACTAAATGCTACCTACTTAACATTTATTCTAACACAATGTGTTAGACAACATACCCTCTCTGAAAAATGTTTAACAAGCCTTCTAATGAAGACGCATAAACAACGAAGATACAAATCAACAAAAAGGCAGTAAGATAGAGAAAGCAGCCAAATACACTACATTTATTGTTGTTCACCAGATGCATGGGATAACGTAGTTGTAGATTTGGTTTCAGTAGTGCCCGCGTCAACAGACATTTTTTGACGATTTCTTGTTCCACCACCTCCTAGAATGGATTTGAAGTAATGGGACTGCATTTCCACGTGGAAAAGAAAGAAAATAACTCATACACAAAAGTTGTGCGGAAAACAACCACATCAAAACATTATATACGCCTGTGTTACACATTTCTAAGTACTTGGGATGGTTATGATTTCGCTGCTCAAATCCATTAAAAAAAGAGCATTTTTTTTTCTTTAACGTCAGTTATATACTTACTTGGACACTTGGACGGTCGGTCAACACTGATTGTGCGGGCCCCAGCACGATCTACATTTTCTGGAGTTTTGCTGGTTTAGCCATTGTGTTTGCCTAGAGTCCTGAAGTCAGCCTGGCCAAAATTTGCCCCAGGTCGTCACAATCATACGCAGCCGCCGCCCTTGTGGATCAGAGATTTACCACCATGCGATTTTGATACCAGGATGGTGGTGGATCCTGGTATTGGTTTGCTCTTAACTAGGTTTTCTGATGGAAACGCCGGACTCCTTCTCAGCTTGGGAGACCGTGCAGGGTGGACTAGTCCCTCCGCTGTACATCACAGTCCGACACCCAGGAACATCTCTCAGTCACGATGACGCGGTAAACCGTTGGGAGGTATCGACAGTTATATTACCATTCTAATTATATTTTCAAGCTACCATCTCCACTTAGTGAATGAACGGAAGAAATGTTTATTCTATATCTTGATGCATACAACCTTTTCCCGATTTTCCAGACGAACGAAGTAGTCGGACTAAGGTGGCATCGGCTTCGAGAAGAGTCAAGTCGTGTTTTGAACCCAAAAATTGCTCACTTAATTCAGGATCGTGAAGGCGTAATAATACTGTAGCTCCTTCACGATATGTCCTGAAAATTACATACAGTGCATAGATCGGATGATATCAACCAATTACGCGAAGAATTTTACTCAGAATTCACAGCTGGCACCTTGCAGACGGCATTGAATTTCATTCCAAAATCTATGTAAACATCATCCTGAAATAGTACGTAGAGAGAATTCGTACCAGACAAATCCTTTCCTGCTGGTAAAGAAAACTTTAGGGCATACCTGCACTCTATGCACGATTCGACCAGTAACTAGTCGACCATTGAAATCACCCAGTTGAAGCATTTTTGATCGACGGAGGATCGACGAAAAAGTTAAACCCTGCAATGAAGAATGTTCCAAAGTTACTCAACAACCATATTTTCAAAGAAATCCCAACAAATACTAAAGTGTAATTAATTGGAATGCCATAAGGTTAATGCGAAAACGACAAGCATCCAAAGGTTCCGGTTCTTTCAAATAACGTATAGTTCTTTAACCTACGGTCAGCCCCGCCTCCGTGTATCATCTTAAAGAATGAAAAAGACTTAGTCCTGCAAATATGCATGTATGCATGAAAAAACCCCCAGATATACAGAGCCCTCAGTTTTCTAATAGCACGAACTCTATCACAATTATTGAACACTTCCGTCCTCACCCATCAGTTAATTATTTGTCTCATATCGTAGGCCGTAAATGTCCACCATAAGAATAGGTGTTAAGTATACTATACAAAATAGAACCGATGAATGTGGTTGTTCAATAAAAATTGGGAGAAAATCACATCACCTTATTCATATCAGGTACATCTCGTCCTATACTATCCACAAATTCATCAAACTCATCAGAAGAATCTAAGCGTCCAATTGACGAATCAGCAGCAGAAAAACACCGGAGACTAGAGCAACGCACAAAGCCAGATCTTAGCCGTAACATTTGGGCGATCATAATCTGAACTACCATACCAAGGTGAGGTGATATTACTAACGATATTAGGAAAGATGATAACAGAATAGGGGTATGGACCGAAACATATCAAAAACACAGACCTTATTAATAATTATTTATTATTGTAGTACGCCACCAATATCTATCACAAGCACAGTAAGCGAACTTGTCATAAAAAAAAAAGAACTGTGAGGGATTTATCCCTTAATAAAACAACTATTATCGAACCATTAGTGAGTGAGCTAAAAAGATAATACAACACACAAACTATCCCAACAATACACAAGAGACTAGTACAAGACGTTAGTAAAAGAATAAAACACTAGTAACGAGTATTTAAAAAACCACTGGAAGAAGAATCCATCGATTACCTCCACATCCTATCCTTCACCTCCACCTTCGGGAGTGATAACATTAGAAATCACAACAAATATTACGACAGGAACAATATACATCCACTGGAAAGAAGCAATCAAAACTCTTATATCCAATTTTTCGATATAAAAATTTTAGAACAAATAAGGATACATCCCATTAATAATAGTCCCTTCTCATAGCAAACACTACTGGTCAAAAACGGATCACTAGTACGCCAACTATTATGGGCACCCTAATTGAAATGTGCAGTCATTTACTTACTTGGATACTTGGATAGTCCATTTTCACTTGTTGTGCAGGCCCCAGCACAACCTTCATTTTTTCTGAGTTTTGCTGTTTTAACCATTGTGGTCCCCGATGTCCCAAGGTTAGCCTAGCCAAAGTCTTCCGCAGGTCGCTACCACCGCAGGCAGACACCGCCCTTGTAGATCAGAGGGAGATTTGCCACCATGCGACTAGTTTGACACTAGGACGGTAGTAGATTCTGGTATGGGCTTCTTGATGGAAACGCCGGACTCCTCAACTTGGCAGACGTTGCTCGGAGGATAAATCCGCCTGTTGTGCATCGCAGCCCGACACCTAGGAACACCCCCCAGCCACGGTAAGGTGGTAAACCGTTGGGAGGTGTGTAGTCATTTATAGAGATATCCTAAGGACTGCTGTGGCATACACACTGGACGGAGATCTAGTCCCCAACAAAGAGAAAGCCGATGCACTCGAATCTCATGACAACTCACGTATTTCCCAAGAAAACTTCGATCATCGGCTTCGGCACCATGTTGTCTTGTTCGTCGTTCACGTTCCATCATTTGTACAAACAACTGACTATCAGGTCTGAAATGAGTCACATTAAACAACGAAAGCAATAATGGTTTAGAAACTATACGAGCCTACGTTGGGAGTGTTCCTTTACTGCTCACATGTACAACAGCATTCGGTTCAGCGAAAGTCGCGAATGATTGTTGACAACAGTTACGAGTTGAATCTAATGGTGCACCACCAGCAGCAATTATGTCTGGGAACACAGTTAATGACTGAACGAGCTGTCGTTCTGGATCAATTGATATCCAGAAGAAGTGAAACAAGTTCGATTGTAGCAATAAGCACTGAAAACTACGAATGAAACAATCACAAAGCGAGGCATGAGAAAAATACTTGCGCCAGAATAACTGCACATATCGTAATTTTATAGTGTTCACCTAACATGTTCTGGTTGACTCGGCGTTTTTTCAACGCAATAGAAGTTTTTCGCTAGATACCGTTTTACTCGAGGTCACGAGTTGACCGCTCGGATGAGTTGAACTTCTTGCGAGCACTCGATATGTTGATGAAGGATCACTGCTCATTCGTTCACCCAAACGACTATCGCTAGATGCTTGGAATGTAGCAGTATAGTTTCCATCGTAAGATTTTCGCAAATCGATTTTCCCCAACGAGTAAGTGTCTTTGTAACCTTGAAAAATTAGCTGTTATGGTGAAGTTCTAGACCAGCTGTAATCATATTGATTGATTGATCAAGCAATTTACCATTCAGGGAGTATTCCAGTTCCACTGTCCAGTCACCTACACATGCTGCTATGCTTGTACCTAACAAGTAGATTAACATTCCTAAAGTAGAGTATGTGTTATTGTTTAAAAGATGACATAAACACATACAGATATACATGGATTTCCTAGATTTTCAAGTAATTTGGAAGCTTATAGCAAAGTAACCTTCATTGAAACCTCACTACACGTAAGAAAATAGTTGCCTAAGAGCTTTCACTACACGTGGGAAAGTGGTCACATAAGTGACCGTACACATAAGACGCTATAGAAAATTCGCACTTATCTACACAAGACATCATTCAGCAAAAGATGTTATGCGACGAAAAATTGTCAATACTATAGTATTGAATACTATCCAGCAAAATAATACCAATAATAACAACAAGAATATGATAATAGTAATAATTGCAATAATAATAATAGTAGTAATAATAGGCAATATGAGGTGCTAATGCAACGGAAAGTTGGACTAAGAAGAGAAGACCACAAAAACAACTGTGAACTCATACACGTAAAGGCATTTAATAACACAGAAAAAAAAAACTAGGAAAAAGATAGAAAATAACAGAGAATAAAGACGACAGGAAATGCTTACAATATAAGTGTGATCTTTTGGGCTAAATATCATCGATCTTCCGCAATATATAGCTCCTGTACTTGGTACTTTCTATTCGAACGGCGTTCCCTGAATCGGGCAACGTCCTTCCGGGTTATTATACCGCGAAGCTAAAAGTTGATTTTGAATGATGTGTTCAAGACATTGAAGTTCTCAGTTAGTAACCTTATTTTCATCATTGACGACGGCAAGGTAACGTAGACCAAGTCCGCGGAATAGCTGGAAGATAAAAGACAACGAGGCGTTTAGAGGGACTCGGTGTGGATGCGGATGAATGAAAGGCTCAAGATCCATCCAGCATAGTTCATCGGACATTGTCAAACCCAACGAGTCCACAGACTTGTCCTGCTGTCTGCAGAACAAATGAAAAAAGCTCATCAAGAAGTGTGGAGCCAAAAATTATTAGCTAGTTTCACTTGAGCCTAAACACCGGCGCAATATGTATAATATGACGTCCTATGCTTTAAAAATTTTTTAAATTAAAAAACTATTGTAAGAATACTCTAATATTTGGTGTGGAAACTAGCTTACACATCTTCGTCAAAAAAGTCGCTGAGCTTGACGGCGTCCATTCGGCCACTTCCATCAAAGCCTTCCATTTCGGAGTGAAAAACCTTTTTAAAAAATTGATATGTATACATACTTATATAAATACATAGACATGGTAACTACAACTATAACATATATATATATGCATATATATATGTATGCATGTATACTCATGTATGACCAAACTTGTCTAGGAGGATAACAGCACTGGTCGGATACATCGTCGGTACATCGTTATGCCACCGCGAGTCATTTTAAAGGTCAGATATGCATTCAACTACTTCCAACGATGCTTGATGAAGTCGAATGCATGCCGCATCCCTCAGAGATTGATGAAAGATGAGACATTTATTCTTTTATCCTTTTAATAACGGTGGGCAACTTCATGTGGTGAGGAACTGGAAACACGCTAGTAGAGCCATCCTAGCATTACATGAAGAATCAACCCAATCAGAATTCAACAACGTCGATGGAGAAGACGAAGTTATCAAGTGGCTGTCGTACCCAAATCCGGAGACCTATGAGTAAGAGATGCAATATGATAAACGGTGTATAAAGTGTTGATATTCCCGTAATATGCGAAGCCGAGTCATATAAACGAAAAAATGCTATTGCCAGTGGTGTTAGATTATCCCACGGCCACTGACTTCCCTTACTAAGCGATTCTAAGTCAATAAATGGAAAGTCCCTCCCAACGGTTTACTGCCTCGTCGTGGCTGGGAGGTGTTCCTGGTTCTCGGACTGCGATGTGCTGCGGAGAGATTCATCCCCTGGCAAGGTCTCCCAGGCTGAGAAGGTCTCCGGCGTTTCCATCAGGAAGCCTAGCTAAGAGTAAACCAATGCCAGGAACCACCACCGTCTTGGTATCAAAATCGCATGGTGGTAAAACTCCCTTTGATCCATACGGGCTGCGATTGCCCGTGGTGGTGACCAGCTGAGGCAGACTTTGGCCAGGCTGACCTCAGGACTCCAGGGAACCATAATGGCTTGACAAGCAAATCTCCGAAAAATGGAGATTATGCTGGAGCCCGCACAACCAGTGATGACGGGCCATACACACATATATATATACATATGTACATAGTACTGTAGTGACGTTGATGATTGAACGACTTTACAAAACCTGTTAAGAACAAATGCAGGTTGTTGTGCTTTGATTGTGATGGCACCTCAGAATGACTAAGCACGTAGTTTTTACCGGGACTATATTCAACAGTTTTTTGCTAAAACTTTGGCCTCATTGTCTCTCATGCCGTTAAGAACAGACTTCTTGTTGAATGCGAACAATCTATACAGGTTCAAAAGATGCACCAATGTAGACGTGAAAAAGTTCTGGCTCCGGGAAGGAAAAGGATAACTAACTCGCTTCTCTAACAAAGTGACTAGCTGACTCCTCAGAATAACTCCTTTGAGATGACCATAATCAGGGAGGGAAGAGTGAGCTGACTCTTCTATCCTGTCAACAACAGGAAATCCATGGTGGCTTGTTGCCCTAAGCACGGCCAATACTCTGGCAACACGTTCGCGGCGCTCCATTGCAACCACATCAGGACGCATCACTTTCCTAAAAATCACAACATATGAGTCCAAAAACATTTTTCAGTCGAATTTCACAAAACTCACTCAGCTAGAATGTTCCTACTCATTTTCGGCGGATGCCAACCAAGAATGGGAATTTCTTGAATATCAATGTGTATATCGTACAGTCCCTCATTAAATATATCACCAACCCATTTCGTGATCATTAAAACTAACATGATTGGTAGCCCAAATGTGATGTCCTGAGAACGTTAGCATCAGGTCAACAAATAAACGCAGTTCTGTTAAAAAGAACCAACCTTCGTTGCTTCCATAATTATAGCTGTAAGCGAAATAGTCATCCGTACAATTCCACCCAGTTGGGCAGCTGCTCCAGCCAGAGCATATTTACCAGGATCAATCCCCGTCTTGAATTAAACGAGTTTACACTGCTTACGATAAAGAATAATACCACTTACAATATTTGGAAATGCACGGCCAACGCCGATCCCAAAGAAACGACCCCATGCCGCACCAGTAAGAATGGCCGGAATAAAAACTCCAGCCGGGACAGAAAGTCCAAACGTCCATAAAGTTAGCAAGTAGTATTCAAGAGAAAAAATCAAAAGCGTCCAAGGTCGAAACGAGTCTAAATGTCACAAAACAAAAATAACTGTAAGCATCGACCAAGAACATTATGAACCACAGAATGACAATTCAGAAACTCACTAATAGGACTATGGAAAAGAGCCTTCACACTTTCTTCTGGATTCTGGAAGAATAACTTTGCCACAGCAGAATATTCTCCCTTCTTACACCACATCTTACATAAAGAAAAAGTTATCACAGTAGAACGAAAGATTAAAAGATCTATAAGGAATAACACACTTGGTTTACTTCAGTGATATTAGGGTTAACACCAACAGGCTGACAATCGTCGACCAGGAAGAGAGTTATGAAACCAGTAAATGCAGATATTGCGGCCACTAAAAGGCATTCAACTAATCGACGCCATTTGTTCGAAACGTACCTGAATCCACCAATCAAAGAAACTGAAATAAATTCATGCTTTTCACATCTAATATTCGGTACGCGAACAAATCCTAAAGTCGTAAAAATAAGACGTACTTCTTTCTGAACTCAGTCATTTTTGAATTGAGATGATTAAATAGTGCTCCGGTTAAACCTCCGATAATTCCCACCATTAAGAACAATGGAACTTCCCAAATGTTATAATTCTTGTTCTGAAACACCAACTTATCACACAAATATCATCACATTCACAAAATACTGAAATAGAAAATTCCTGTGTTGATTTTTTAAGCAAGCGAAAAGATACTACTCGCCTCAAAGACACCAAAGTTAGCGAGACCAGTCCAAGATAACCAGCCACTTCGCCCGTTAAACCAACTTAAAATGGAATTGACAGTGAAAGCAGAGATCATAGCTGAGAAGAACTGCAATCAATAGTCGGTTAAGACATTTTAGTAGTACAGCTACTCAAACACAGACGTCATATATCAGTCACTTATATTCCTCTCAGTACAAACAGCTATAATTTTAAAAATTTTTATTCATACGACCTTATAAACTGTCTTAAGCTGATGCGAGGTTGAGACTCCCAACCCAGAGAGGTGACCCACTCGAAACAGCACGGCACTGAGGAGGCCGAAATCGCCGAAACGCCACCCATCGACCCACAACACCAACAGCAACGACGACAACAACCACAACGACAACGAAGACCTATACCAACTTCGCATCAGCTTAAAAGATCAGTTTATAAGATCATATAAATAAACATATCCCTTTTGAATTTTGAAAATATTTCAAAAAACTACAATCCTTGGAAAACACACAAGAGTCGAAAGAAGAAAACTAAACAACAAAGTGGAATTGTTAACTTTAACAAACCATTCTCCATGTGAGGTTCTGATTCCAAAAGCTAGCTCCTTCTTCGAGTGAGAAAAGTACTCCACCGATAGGTGCACCAAAGGCAGCTGCTACCCCAGCTGCAGCCCCAGCCGACACGAAATCTCGTCTCTCCCTTAATAATGTATACTTCCAAAGTTCAAAAATACTTTACAAATGTCCCTAAGTACAAATGTACGCAGCTAAAGAATATATGCTGTATGCAAGTCAAATTATCTGCGATTTAGAAGCAGTTTATCGGCGTAAGAAAAAGCAGACTTTTCGATAAACGTCTAATCAAACAGCTCACTCTTGTTACCTCACTGATTCATGCTACTGAGAAAAGCTTTACCTATCATTTCTGAACTCTTTAAACAACCCAGTATCAAACGGCACAGATCGACATCGACCTTGGGAAATACCTGCGCCAACGACAGCTCCTGAATGAATCATCGGTCCTTCCTGAAAATAAATCTGATGTTACTCAAATACACTGCAAAAAGATCAAATAACTAACTTTTCCAGCGGATAGGCCTCCTCCAACTGCGCAAGCAACTCCAACAGCTTTCGATATAAGCGTCTTTAACTTTACAACTTCAGGTATTTGGATTCCATTCAAGTAACATTTTATTTGAGGGATCCCTGAACCTCCAGCAACTGGGGACCAAAAGATTACCTAGAGCACTAGGATACACTGTGAAGAAAAGATACAGTTATAGATATACAAAAAAGTTATGTTATAGCAATATAAAACAATTGAATTGAAGAAGTAAAGAAATTTGCGAGCTACTCACCAAAAAACCGGCTACCCCTACAAGAAGGCAGTTGTAGCACATCCAAGCTATCTCGACCGTCCACATACAACCGGCTCCAGTGAGGTCGGTCTCTTTGTCGCATTTTGAAAGTACTGCAAACATTTCGATCAATAAGTTACCGAGCCATTAGTAAAAAGTCGGAACATACATCGCTTGATAATAATTCTAAACTTGATTTGCTGACTATAGTGGACCATTATGTCAATTGCTGCAGCAATAAGGGCGGTAATAACACCAATAAGAAAGCATACAATCCAACGATTTCGCGATCTGTGCCAAAGTTTCATCTAAAGATAAGTTGTACGTGTAACTGTAATAATTTTGAACGATTTCAGCACAAAAAGAAATGTGTACATGATGATCGGGATTTCCCTCTTCATCTCGGTAAAGCTGATTCTCAGAAATTTCATAGTTTAAGCTTTCGTACTTCGATGATAAGGCATGCTCCAGCTCTCTTTCTGGATGCTCTTGCTCACGTCTACGAAACTTTTCCTCGTCCTGAAATGCTAATGCCCATTTCATGGAAATCGCAAAGAATGGCTAACGCAACAAATTCTTACCTCCCTCCTCCGGCGTGACAAGGAACTAACAGACGAGGACGAAGTTACACGTTCTAGTCCGGCAACTGGATCCTCATAAGGATCAAGACTATAATATGGATTTATGCACAAATAAATACGCATACATAAACATAATGCGTATACACATTATATATATATATATATATATCATATACAAACGTAAACATACAGATGTAAGCATATCTGCATGATAATACACCTATATTATTCACTGTATATACATATATACACGTATATGCATATGTACATATGTATATAAATGCACAGTCTACATGATTCTGTGCACATATAAATCCGTCTCAGGATGTATGTTGTGTATGTATATATATATGTATATTGTACACGCAGATATATATGTATATATTAAAAACAAAACCAACGTATTCGAAAAAACAGCCCTTTGACGGCCTTGTATGAGGAGTTCCCTGTCGGACATCTTTGCCCCTGCCTAAATCAAACTAGGACATACAGCTTTACAAACTAAAAAAGTCGATACTACGTAGAAAACATGAAATCTTTTAATTTGAAAACGCGAAAAGCAGCTATTGTTGGGAGAAAAACTACCAGTAGCGGAAGAACAGACAAAGATAGAAGCTAGCAGTTCTAGGAAATCCAGTACCCCTCCATTCTCCTTTCATAGTAAGACACAAGTTGCATCCAAGTGGCGAAATAAACATTGACGTTGCGAAATGTTATCTGTGTGATCACGTAGAAAACAGTGCAATTGACGGCACATATGTTTCGTGCCGTGATAGTCGCTAACCTGAGCTTCAAAGGAATTTGAATTATGATTTTTTATTGCCGTGTTGTTTATTTGTTGTCATTGATTTTTATTGCTATAGTGTTATGTGTTTACTTACTGCTTAGAACAATTACATAAATTGTAGTGGGCAGCACCTGAAAAGTTGACATTGTGATTTCAAATACAGCCTCAGCTTAACTGGGTCCATTTCCGATTTATGCTCGCCAGATCTCCTCCGGTTGACGTGTGGTTGCTGGTGGCACTGGTAGATAGGAAACTACCTGAAAGGCAGGTGAAACGAAGGATCCGCATGGTCTGGTGGTGAACGCGTTTGCCCCCAGGAAGGGTGGTGGCGTGTTCAATCCCCTCCGCGGTCACTCGTGGTCCGTAGTTTTGCGAGTATCTCACCATCATATAGTTATATTATTATAGTTGTGGCGTTAACATTTTGAGAGTCCAACTTCTCTTTTTTTGACGTCGTCATAGACAGTTCTTTACAATGTTTACTCACTTTAAAGAAACTCTTGCATTGTCATGCCTTCTCGTCGTCGTCGAGAAAGATATTGTACTCCGTGGCCTCAACTAAAGTTGCCCAATGAGGGCATTTTCACAAAAGACGGTCACCTTTTTCATCATGAAACGCCGCAACCTTTAAAGGAGTTACATCGACAACGACTGCTTGAATGCGGTTAGCATTTCTTGCCTCATTTTAGGTTAGCTGTTTTTCTTGGGTTTTTTCCAAGAATCTGGATCTTAGGTATAACTGTTTGAAATGTCATTCTTTTCTACTTGATTATTTCTACAACTACCTACGCATTTGTTTGTTTGAAGGTATTCATCTCGATGACGGAGATTCTTTCTCTCCTGATGAAGATGAGAGGATTCGGAAAAATTGGCGTTCTTTCGCACAAACGCACTCATCCATCTTTGATGACGCCCGATACTTGGTTGGGCCCACCTCGAGCTTGAAATCTGTGAGTGTCTTTACCTAATGAGCTTTTCGTTTAACATTCGAAAAAGACCCGTTTTCCCAAAATTCGTAGAAGGAATAAAATGCAGTTCTATTACACAAGTCTCTAATTTTTCGTATTATAGGTGACCTTCCAGCGACTTCAAAAGAAAGCACTTGCCAAGATCGGAATGTGGCCACAATTATGTACGTTAAATTACACCTTTCTTCCACTAAAATTTCCATCTACTCTTTCACAGCCGGCCATCACCAGCTCAGTGAGTTCGGTTGGTTGGAAGAAAGCTTATTTGGAAACTCATGATAATTCCTTATTTGAATAGTAGGAAAGACAGTCCTTACTGGTTGTACAAGCACCATCACAGTTCATATTTTTTTTTTCGGAGTCTTGCTGGTTTAGTCATTGTGGTTCCCTGGAGTCCTGAGGTCAGCCTAGCCAAAATGTGCCCCAGGTCTTCACCACCACAGGCAGTTGCTGTCCTTGTGGATCAGAGGGAGATTTACCACCATGCAGTTAGTTTGATACCAGAACAGTGATGAATTCTGGTATCGGTTTGCTCTTAGCTGGGCTTCCTTATGGAAATTCCAGACTCCTCAGCTTGGAACGCCCTGCTGGGGGATGAATCCCCCACGCTGCACATTATAGCCTGAGATCCAGGAGCACTTTCCATCCATGGTGAGGAGGTAAGCCTTTGGGGGAACTCATGATATAATACGACAATCTCTTTATATTGATTCGGCCTATGTGCATACCGTTCGTATCATTCTCTGAGCTATCCATTTTATTAACAGCACACGAATGCGATGCAGCATTTTAGTGACATTGTCAGGTGTTTGTGTATTTATATAGTTGTCTGTTATCTTACATATGTGTATATACATATGCGCACGTAATATATATACATACGTATATATACGTATATATGCGTATGCGTGTGCAGACATCACCTGTGTTATCTGTTGCCCCGATGATCGTCGAGTGACTCGAGCGGACGCCAGTATATCTTCCATTTTTCGTTGTCGCGTGCAAGAGTAGCCCAGTGGGTTCTGCTCGTTCTTGGGAGTCGTTGAGCATCCTATCTTTCTTCTAGGCTTTTCGTGAAGAACTTTGAGTATTGGATCAGTGGTCTACTCGCACTACGTTTTAACATCCCAATGAATCCAGTCACTAACGGTTCTTGTCCATCAGTTGTTGTTCATTCGCAATAAGTGTCCGACCCACCTTATCTTCGACTGTTTGGCGTACATAACGACATCTTTGATTTTTGATTGTTGGCGCAGGTTGGAGCTTCGGATCCCTTCCCTTACTTGTGTGATAAGGAATACTTCTAGCGTTTTCCTTTCGATTGCGCATTCAATAATGCTGAACGATCTTTCATCCTGCTTACACAGCTGCCAAGTTTCTCACGCAAACGTTGAGGCAGGAAGTATCGTGAAGTGGAAAACATGGGTATGGTATCGAATGTTCTTTGTCCCCTCACTACGTTCTCGATGTTCTTGAAAGCTCCCCAAGCCGGTCGTTCCCTTCTGCTCAACTCTAGAGCTAAGTCGTTCATCATGTTGATTTCCCGACCTAGATAGACGTAGCTGGAGCATTCGGAGATATTCGTTTCATTGAGCGTGAATGGAGCATATGCAACAAATCTGTTCCGTACGAACATCGTTTTTGTGAGATTTAGTCGAAGATCAATTTTTCCACAGGCTTTAAAAAGTTGACAATCATCCATTGCACTTGGCTACTGTTTTGTGTAATAAGAACGATATCATCAACAAAGCGAAGAAGGTGTAATTGCCGACCATCGATTTTCACTCCCATATGATCCCATTCCTATGTTCGCATAATGTTTCCGAGGGTGGCGGTAAATAATTTTGGCGAGATGGTATCGCCTTGCTTAACCCTTCGTTTGACTTCGATATTAATATCGTTGTGGAATGGTGGTATCCTACTTGTGAAGTTTTTGTATAGCTCATGAAGAATTTTTACATACTTATTACGAACTCTTTGACTGTCAGAGACTTCCACGACTGCTATCTCCATTGAGTCGAAGACCTTCTTTAAATCGACAAAAGCGAGACAGAGTGGTCTTTTGTGCTCTACCGATACTTCAGTAAGTCTTGTTTTCGTGTGGATGTGGTCGGTCGTACTAAATTGTTTTCGAAACCCTCCTTTCTCACATGGCTGTCCTTCGTCAAGTGTTCAGTCAATCGTGTTTAGGATCACTCGAGTTAAAAGTTTGTAGACGACAGACGGCAAGAAGATTGGGCCTTAGTAGCCTACATCGTGGAGGTCATCCTTTTTGAGCAATAGCTCGGTCTTGCTGGTCTTTCTCTGAGTAGGCACCTTGCATTCGGACAGATAACGTGTGAAGAGCGGAGCCAGTGTGTTTACGAGGACTGGTGGAAGGTTCTTCAGGTGTTCTGATTTATCCTGACCGGACTTGGTGCTGTTCGATTTTTCACTGACGAAATGGCATGTTGGATTTCGGAAAGAGGAACCGGTGGTGGAACATATCCACTCTCCCTCATTTCATATGAAGGATGATGAACGTGGCTATTGAAGAGATCTGAGTAGTAATCGTGAATCATTTTCTCCATTGCCTTTCTGGATGCTGTTACTGTTCCGTCTGGGCATCGGAGTGCAGTTATCTTGGTTTCGCAATTGGCGAAGCTTCGGTGGGCTTTGCAAATGGTTTTCCCAGCCTCTCCAGGTTCTAGCATAACTGCTGCTCTTCTCTCTTGAAGATCTTTTTTCATCACCTGTCTGTACTATCTTGCAAATTCGGACGTGAGTTTGTGGTTTCCTGCAGCTCGTACGTTTCCCCGCTGATGTATCAGCACGATTTTTCTGTAGACATACCTCTTGGTGTCCTCCGAACTCTCAGCTTTCATAGTGCTAAAGTGAGGATGTTGGATGAACCGATTGTGTTCCTCGCTGATGTTAGAGAACGGCATCTTGCCAAAAGCCGACCAGTGAATTGAATCTCTTTATGGTGGTTTTCGAACTTCGGTTTTTTCTGTTTTGAATTTGGTGGCTTTTCTTCTTTTCCGCGAGAAAGAAGTTTTCTCCGAAGGAGGCAGTGGTCTGATCCACCGTAGAATTTTGGGACAACAGCGACATCGGTAAGGTAAAACCTTCTATTTACTTTAATATGATCTATTTCGTCATGGTGCTTCCTAGTAAGAGGCTCCACACGTCCAGCGCCGAGAGTGGGGCTTCTGGAATTGCGAATTA